CGTTTAAAAAAAAATTTGAACAAATGTGGACACAGTACAGGAGATGACCAGAGACATCGGACATACAACGGCGGCGGGAATACTGGGCCGGCCACTCCATAAGACGCACAGACATTTCCCCCCAAGTGTGTCTTATGGAGTGAAATAGTGCCCCATCATTGGTGGCAGTGGGAAGAATTGTGCCCCATCATTGGTGTCAGTGGGGGGAGGAATAGTGCCCCATCGTTGGCGTCAGTGGAGGGAGGAATAGTGCCCCATCATTGGCGTCAGTGGGGGGAGGAATAGTGCCCCATCATTAGTGTCAGTGGGGGGAGGAATAGTGCCCCATCATTAGTGTCAGTGGGGGGAGGAATAGTGCCCCATCGTTGGTGTCAGTGTGGGGGGGGGGGGAATAGTGCCCCGTCATTGGTGTCAGTGTGGGGGGGGGGAATAGTGCCCCGTCATTGGTGTCAGTGGGGGAAGGGGATAGTGTCCCAACATTGGTGTCAGTGGAAGGAATAATGTCCCATCATTAGTGTCAGTGGGAGGAATAGTGCCCCATCGTTGGTATCAGTGGGAGGAATAGTGCCCCATCGTTGGTGTCAGTGGGGGGAGGAATAGTGCCCCATCATTGGTGTCAGTGGGGGGAGGAATAGTGCCCCATCATTAGTGTCAGTGGGGGGAGGAATAGTGCCCCATCGTTGGTGTCAGTGTGGGGGGGGGGAATAGTGCCCCGTCATTGGTGTCAGTGTGGGGGGGGGGGGGGAATAGTGCCCCGTCATTGGTGTCAGTGGGGGAAGGGGATAGTGTCCCAACATTGGTGTCAGTGGAAGGAATAGTGTCCCATCATTAGTGTCAGTGGAAGGAATAGTGTCCCATCATTAGTGTCAGTGGGAGGAATAGTGTCCCATTATTGGTGTCAGTGGGAGGAATAGTACATCATTGGGTGTCAGCGGGGGGGGAATAGTGCCCCGTCATTGGTATCAGTAGGGGGGGGGGGATAGTGTCCCAACATTGGTGTCAGTGGGAGGAATAGTACCCCATCATTGGTGTCAGTGGGGGAAGGAATAGTGTTCCATCGCTGGTGTCAGTGGGAGGAATAGTGCCCCATCATTGGTGTCAGTGGGGGGTGAAATAGTGCCCCATCGTTGGTGTCAGTGGGGGGAGGAATAGTGCCCCATCGTTGGTGCCAGTGGGGGGAGGAATAGTGCCCCATCATTGGTGTCAGTGGGAGGAATAATGCCCCATGATTAGTATCAGTGACACCAATGATGGGGCACTATTCCTCCCACTGACACTTGCTGACCCATTCCAGCATGGTGCTGCTGCAGCCAGCATACCTGGTTGCAGCAGCACCATCTGCATGGCACACTTACCTGTCAGCTGTCCTTCACTCCGGCCTCTCCCTCGTTGTTCGTGGGGCCGCCTGTGTTCCTTTCCTGAGCTACAGTTCTGGTGCCCAATCAATGGTGAGGAGGTGGAGCCGAGCTGCAGCGCAAACATCGAGTGAGTGGCCAGAGTGAATGAAGGAGCAGTGCTTCCTGGACTGGATCATCGTGGGACTGGGACACGGAGCCAGGTAAGGTACAGCAGCCCCCTGCCCGCCCCTGTACTTAGTGTCCCTTCCTCGTGGCAAATACGCCCCTGCCGGCAGGCCGGATAAATGTCCTTGGCGGGCTGCATGTGGCCCGTGGGCTGTAGTTTGAGGACCCCTGATCTTGCGTATGAGGCTGCATTTACACGAAGGACCCGTTCAAACCATATAAACAGTCCGGATGAGCTCCAGATGTGTTTGCATGCTCGATTCTGATGTGTTTTTGATACATTCCGGTGCGTTTTTAATGCATTTGGAGTTCATTTTCCTTCACCTTAACCTCTTCAGGCTGAGCGTCCGCAAATATGCAGCCTCTCGGCGGCTGGGCTTTGACAAATCCTAGTATACCACCATTTGTAAACGCTAGAACTTTCACGTAACCAATTAATTTACACGTATTGGGATATTTTTTAGCAAAGACATGGAGCAGAATACATTTTGGCCTAAATTTATGATGAAATTTGATTTTCACTTTTTTTTTACTGGATATGTTTAATAGCAAAAAGTCAAAAATATTGTATTTTTTTTCAAAATTGTCTTTTTTATAGCACAAAAAATAAAAAATGCACAAGCGATCAAATATCAAAGAGGGAAAAAAAATCCGTAAATTTAACTTGGGTGCAGCGTTGCATGACTGCGCAATTGTCACTTAAAGTAACACAGCACCATAACGCAAAAAATGGCCTGGTCAAGAAGGGGGTAAATCCTCAGGAGGGCAAGTGGTTCCTGCATTCTCTGCGGTAAGGTAAGACCTTTCAAGAGCTGCTCCCCCCAGTCCCCACTGAAACCTTACCAGAGGCCAGTCTTGATCCAACGCTGTGCCCATCTACAGCAGCTCTTCTCCCAGGAGGCTCAGCAGCAGCAGGAGACATTAGTTCCTGCTGCTGCCAATCAAATCCTGAGGAGGGAGGGCTGTGTCTGTGGTACCGTGGGAGCGTTTCTACTGCGTTTTCCATTGATTCCAATGGGCAGGTGTTTTTTTTGGTTTACTGCACCAAATAGGGCTTAGAAAACTGCACCGCACCCGCAACTGATGAGTGTGAAGAGTTCCATAGGTCACACGTTTTTCTTCCACTTTTTTTTTCTACCGTAAAAGCGAAGAAAGAACGGATCAGCGTGGAAGCAGCCTTACAGTGAAACTTTGGTTATACTTTTGAAGCACAACTAAACGCAAACTTTTTTTTTTTTAGTTTTGGACAGACAGGGATTTAACATGTGCCAGTTAGAGAGATTCTCCCGAACTGTCCTGTTATCAACTGAAAGAAAATGGCAACGTTTGGGTTGTCCCCAGAAATGTAATAGAGGGGAAAATTCTCCAATGGGGACACTACACTCATCGGCCACTTTATTAGGTACACCTTGCTAGTGCCAAGAAAAATCCCCGCACACCATCACCAGCCTGAACCCGATACAAGGCAGGGGGGAATCCATGCTTTCATGTTGTTTATGCCAAATTCTGACCCTACCATCTGAAGGTCGCAGCTACCAGTCTGCCCATTCTCCTCTGACATCAGCAAGGCATTTTCCTTCACACAACTGCCACTCACTGGATATTTCCTCACCATTCTCTGTACACCCTAGAGACTGTTGTGCGGAAAAATCATGGCATACATTCAACAAGGTGTTGGAAACATCCCTCAGAGGTTTTGGTCCACATTGACATGAGTTACTGTTGCCTATCATCTCAAACCAGTCTGCCCATTCTCCTCTGACATCAACCAGGCATTTTCATCCACACAACTGCCACTCACTGGATTTTTTCAGACCATTCTCTGTATACTCTAGAGATGGCTGGGCGTGAAAATTCCAGTAGATCAGCAGTTTTTGAAATACTGACTAGCCCGCCTGGCACCAACAATCATGCTACATTCAAAATCACTTAAATCCCCTTTCTTCCCCATTCTGATACTCGGTTTGAACTTCAGCAAGTCATCTTCACCATGTCTAGATGCCTAAATGCACTGAGTTGCTTCCATGTGATTGGCTCATAAGCCATTTGTGTTAGCAAACAGTTGAACAGATGGACCTAATAAAGTGTCCGGTGAGTGTGGTTCTGGTGACCTGGAGGTTCCCAAGGAATTCCCTTAATTTCCAGGGATTTTCTCACTTCCTGTTTGGCTATGAGACAGGAAGTGAAATTTCCTCCCGAGGGACACAGATGGCAAAATAAAAACCAATCTGACACGGCTTATAACCCTCCCTTGCTCTATCCAACATGAAACATTCTACTTCACATGGATGGCTGTAATTCCACTTCTTACATTTACAGTGGATGAAGTTTCCTGCCTCCACATTCACTAGACCTGCTCCAGAACAGTCTGCAAGTGATGGCAAACTGTGTGCTTCCAAGTGTTTCCCCCTCAACCCAAGATGGCCCCTGGCTGCTCTGTCATTCCTGACCGGTTCTCTTTAACCACGTGTCTGCGGCATTCCACAGATGGGATGAAGTCATACACTGCCAAGGTGGCGTTAATGTTACACGGTATACACTTTATTCGGTTCACGCAGTTAGGACATCTGATCATCTGCCCCCCACACAGAGCACTGGCAGCCATTTTGTAGACAGGACCTACATGCAGCCTATCACTTCCACAGGAACGCGTGCTCCAAGTCCTGAGGAAGCGGCTGGCTGGACGCTGCGGAACAAAATGGCTGCCGCCGCCTCTCCATGTGAGCCGTCTAAGAGCACCCTCGTCAAGCAGCGGCCCGGGGCGCTAGAGCGGGAACACGACGGGCTCGCAGCCTTTGCTCCGGTCGATTGGTAGCGCGAGCCCGGGGCGGCTCTTCCTCCCGCTCATTGTCTGCGATAGTAAACACAGGGAGCGCGCACGTCACGCAGGCTTCACAGGAAGCCGCGTAACAAGAAAAAAAAAACCCAAAGAAAGAAGGACGTGTGCCCTAGCCAATTAGCGACGCTAGACGAACTCTCCGCCGCCATAGCAGTGCAGAGCGGGGGCGGACCTTCCGTACGTCTTGACGCGTCACGTCCCCCGTACTGGCCGCAAGCCCCACCTTTTGTGTTTCCCCGCACCGTCAATCAAAATAGGAAAAAAAAAACGCGCCTGGTTCTCTCCGTCCGCAGCGCGCCTGTGATTATTATACTCTAATCATGTCACGCGTCTAATAAAGCCACCGCGGCCTGCGCAGCCCTGCCCGGGCCTGTTGGCTTTTTTCCTCTCTCTCCTTGGGGATTGTTTTCCTTTAATCCTGCCACAAACAATGACGGGTACGTAAAAGGCGCTCGCCCGCGAGCCGGCGGAAAATCCAGCAACGGTGCGACCGGGAGCGGAGTGTGTGCGAGTGTGAGTGAGCGCGGGGAGGGGGAAGGCTGTGAGGGGGAGGGGAAGCCGAGTCCGGGCGGAGAGCAGAGGAGGGGGAAGCCCCAGTAATGGCGCTGACGGTGTCGTGTTTGTCTCTTTTGTCCCCTCAGCTCCCGAGCAGCCCGTCAAGAGAGAGGAAATGGCCGCCATGGAGGTGGACGGGCAGAGCGAGTATCTGCAGCACGGCAACAGCAGCGATGACAGCGAGCAAGGCGGTGGTGGCGGCCAGGTAAGAGCTAGGCCGCAGGCTCCGGGCCTAGGCCTCCTTCCTTCCGGGGCAGCGCGGAGCGGGCCCTGCGCGGTGATAGACGGGGGTAGGGGAGCCCCGGCCACAAAATAAGACCCAAAAATAAAAAGGCCACATGAAGCGTCCTTCCTGTGTCAGCCCCGGACTAACGGCCACCCACTTCTCTCCATGTGAACCCGCCCATTGTGGGTAGGACGCTCCGCCGTCAGCGCTGCTTCGGGATCGGCGGAGGGCAGGGAGGGTGGCGGCGGTGCCGATGGCGGAGCGGTAAGTGATGAGCCAGGGCTGGATCGTAGACAACCCCCCTAGGGGGAGGGAGGGCAGATGTCCTCGTGAACCCCCCACCTCCTCCCCGGCTCACCCATCCCACCGCTCCTCCTCCCTGGTGGCCGGCTCTGGAGGGGGTCACCCCGCATACGGGCGGCCCTGTGGGACTGCAAGGCCCAGCATGCCTCATCGTTCCGAGGATCGGGACTTCCTGGAAGGTGATGGCTGCCTCGGGGTATAGGAATCCCGATGACCCCTACCACCCCTCAGTCAGTGAGCCTATCGGCTGTGTGTGCAGTCCGACGATCGGGATGCCCAGCTGCTGTGTGCCCATGAGGCATGCCACCCCACCCTGCTCCAGGAGCCCACTCCCTATAGTAGGAGCCTGGGGTTCACAGAAGGCCCATACACCTGTCTCCCCCAAGCTGGGGATGGCCATTGGATGCACAGCTGCAGAGTCCCAGGATGGCTGCCTCTACCCCAGAGTATAGAAGACCCCCTGCCACCCATCAGTCACTGTGCCCATAGGACTTCCTGCTGGTCAGAGTGCAGTGTCGGGGTGGCTGAGGCCGCAGGATTGTATGGCATGACTTGCTTCATGACTATAATAGGAGGTAGTGCCAGCTGGGGCCCGAGCACCTGTAACCCCCTGTCTGTGGATAGTCATTGGATGCTTCTAGTACCAAAGCTGCAGAGCCCCAGGATGCCTGCCTAAGGGTATAGAAGCCCCGATGACCTCTGGCACCCCTCCATTACTGTACCTATAGACCTTGCATGCAGCCTGGGTTCGGGATGTCCAGCTGCTGTGTTACCATAAGGCAGCACCAAGCTTGGTGTTCAGGGTAGGCCCATTCACCTGTGACTCCCAGACTGAGATAACCATTGGGTGATGACGGTTCCACAGCTGCAGAGTCTCAGGGTGGCTGACCCTACAATATAGAAGACCCGATCACTACTGTCACCCCTCAGTAACTGTTTCCATAGACCTACCTATTGATCTGCATATAGTGTAGGGATGGCTGAGGCTGCAGTACTGTAAGAATGGTTTGCTATGCAATGCTGCTTCATGAATATAATAGGAGCCTGGTGTTCCGGCTAATGCCAGCTGAGGCCTAAGCACCTGTCACTTTCTGGTTGTTAATACCCATTGGGTGCTTATAGTTCCACAGCTGCAAAGCCCCAGGATGCCTGCCTCTGGGTATAGAACACCCAATGACTACTGGCAGTCACTATGACCATAGTCCTTCCGGTTGATCTGCATGCATTGTAGTTATGGCTGTGGCTTCAGATCTGTAAGGCATGGCTTGCCACGCTGCCCTGCTTCATGCAGCCCTGGTATTCAGGGTAATGCCAGCTGAGGCCCGAGCACCTGTGGCTCATTGGCTGTGGTAACCATTGGATGCTTAATGTTGCACATCTGCAAAGCACCAAGATGCCTGTCCCTGCATCTGGGTATAGAACATCTGATGACCACTGGCACCCTCAGTCACTGTGCCTACAGGCCCTGCATGCAGTTGGAGGTTCATGCTGTATAACTGTATGGCTTGTCACCTTACCTTGCTTCATGTTCCCATTGATCTGAAGTAAGAGCCTGGTATTCAACACCTGTGACTCCATGGCTGAGGATACCCATTGAGTGCTTATAGTTCCACAAGTGCAGAGCCCCAGGATGCTTGTCCCTGCCTTAGGGTACAGAACACCCAATGACCACTGGCAAATTCCAGTTACTGTACCCATAGGCCTTCTTATGGATCAGCGTGTAGTGATGGCTGAGGTTGCAGAACAGTATGGCATGGCTTGCCATGCTGCTTTGCTTCACAAATATAGTTGGAGCCTGGTATTCAGGGTAGTTCTAGCCGAAGGACCGAGCACTTGTGACTCCAGGGCTGGCTCTGGATGCCCATTGGGAGCTTCTGGTCCCACAGCTAAATCTGGAGGTCGCCTTAGCATTTATAAAATGATAGTCTGCTGTTTTTATGTCTCTATTTGCCATTGATGTGACTGTAGTGTTGGGACAGCCAAGATTTTGGCTATAGTGCTGTGGAACTTCAAGACATGGCATGTTTTATCTGTCTATTTACAGTACCAGAAGCCTGATAGTGCCAGCTGAGGCCCCAGCACCTTTCACTCAGTGGCCATTGGGTGTTTATAGGTCCACAGCTGCAGACCTCTAAGTTGCCTGTCCCTTGATATATACCATCTGATGACCACTGGCACTCCTTGGACACTTTGCCCATAGGCTTTACTTTTGATCTGCATGCAGTGTAGGAATAGCTGCAGCCCAGGCTGTCAAGCTGCTGTGGAACTACAAGGCATGGCTTGCCACACTGTTCTTGACTATAGTGGGAGCCTTGGTATTCAGGGTTGTGCCAGCTGAGGTCAAAGTACCCGTTACTCCTTGGCTGAGGATGTCCATTAGATGCTTATGGTTTCACAGCTCCAAAGGTTGTCTTAGCATGTATAAAACAATTGTCTTTATATGTCTATACCCCTTGTATTTGCAGTTGATGTGGCGGCAGTGTTCGTCAACCAAGGCTTTGGCAGTAGTGCTGTGGAAACTCAAGGCATGGCAAAAATTACTGACTGACAGTAATGTAAACCTAGTGTCAACGTGTGTTTTTTTGCATTTAACGTGCGTTTTTAGGTGCATTAAAAAACACACCCCAGAAATTCTCCCAAGTGAAGCGAAAAAACACTACATGGTTTTCAAATGTGAACAGCTCTGTCTGCTGTCCATGTTATCCATTGCAGGCTTCTTTACTAGGCTAACAAGTAGCCGCAAAAAAAGTGCCTCAAACACCTGTTTGAACAGGATGGCCTAAGCATCTGTGACTCCTTGGCTGGCTGAGGATGCCAATTGGGTGCTTATGGTTCTGGAGCTGTTGATTCCAGGATGCATGTCCTTTCCTGAGGATATGGAACACCTGATGACCTATGGCACCCTCAGTCACTGTACCCATAGGCCTTCCTGTTGACCTGCATGCAGTGTGGGGACATTGGAGGCTTCGGCTGTCCAGCTGCTATGTAATAACATGGCTTGCCAAACTGCTGTTTTATGTGTCCATGGACTATAGTAGGAGCTTGGTGTTCAGGGTAGTGCCTTTTGAGGCCCAAACACCTGTGACTTTCTGGCTGCCTGAGGATGACCATTGGGTGATTATGGTCCTTCAGGTAAAAAGCCACGGGTTTTCTAGGTGTGAATTAAACTATTTTCTGGTATTTGTATGTTTATCCCCCTTATATTTACTGTTGCTGTGTTAAAGCTGTAATTTACAGATTTAAGAATTCTGTTCTTCCTGTGTTTGGAGAGATTGGAGGGTTTTGTAGAGTAACATAATGTCTAGATACTGGATGAAAATGGATAGGCTGGAGTAATACATTTTTGAGTGTAGAGGGTTGAAATAGTACTCCCTGTAGTCCAGACTGGGCCTTGGCTCTGTGCCTAAGTTGAAGGCATTTAAAGAGCCAGGTGCTAGACTCTCCAGACTTTAGAGATGAAATACACTTAAAAGTACCCCTGGAGTATGGTTGATGTAAATAGTTTAGTCTTGCCTTTAGGAACGGTCAGAAATTGTTCTAATTCTGTGTTGCATTTGCTGGTGATGTGGCTACATGGGTAGGACAGCCAAGGCTTGGGCAGTAGTGCTGTGAAACCTCAAGACACAACATGTTTTATGTTTATAGTGACTCTAGGGAGAACTTGGTCTTCAGGGTAGTGCAATCTAATGCTCAAGCAGTTGTGACTTTCCTGGCTGTAGATGACCATTGGCTGCAGTGCCCATGGGACTATAAGACATGGCTTGTCATACCACCATGTGTTATGTGCCCAGTGATTTTTGTATGAGCTTGGTCTTCAGGGTAGTGCCTGCTAAGGCTCCCCAGTTGTCTGTGCATGACCATAGGACACGTATGGCTGCACAGATGGAGAACCACAGGTTGTCCTTAATGCTGCAAATATGTAAATACAGCTGTGTGCCCTGCTCATGCAGATTGTGTTTACTATTCATTTGGATGCAGCATGGTGCCAGCTAAACTTGAAAGTGAGGAAATGTGTACAGAAAGTGTCCTGTGGTATTGGCAGTGGCATTCTTTGTACCTGCTGGGTTCCAAATTGACTACAGTGAGGCGCCAGAGAGAGCTGGGGGGGGGGGGGCAGTTGGTGAAAGGTCTCTTATACCTCAATTCTTTGTGAGCAGGCCAATGCCTGCCCCATGTGTTTTAAATATAAGAGCTCTGTTTTCAAACAAATGTATTCACCTTGAACTTGCCCATGTTATCCCAGTACAGAAGAATGCACAACACATTAAAATCACAAGCTTGTAAAGCCGGCCATACACTAGTAGATTTTTGCGCAAATATTTATACGGTAATTCTCATCGGTCCATTTGGTGACATGACAATCCCGTTTGAAAGTACTTTAAAAAAAAAAAAAGTTTGCTTTCAACATTTGATTTTGGAGTGAATTGATTTTCTCAAACAAAAATCACATACACTGTTAGAAATTCATTTGCTCGAGAATGTTTTCATCCTGCTCTTAGAATTTTCTTGTGAAGGTCGATCCTACTAATGGTATTGTATGACCACATATTAGCACATTATGACATGTACTAGTATGCACCACATATTAACACATTATGACATGTACTAGTATGCACCACATAACACATTATGACATTGTACTATATGCACCACATATTAACACATTATGACATGTA